GACGGGTCGCTCAATCGATGGCAGTGAGTTCTGAACTTTTGAGATGGGCACATAGGCTACTTCTAATTTTTGACGATTTTGAATGTTTTAATATATTTATAAATCTTTCTTTGAATGCCTGGTTATGTACTTGGACTATTACTTTTAAAGGTTTTAACTCTGTATCTCTCCCTATAAACATTTTTATGATTTTTCGTTTCCATCAGCCGGTGAGTGGGCATGCAAAGTCCTCCTGCTCCCATCAATATTAGACATTAACCTGCACGGCGCCCTGTTATTGTCGTCTGCATCTTTTAGAATCAATTGAACATCTTTCTTCAATGTTTCTTTCAAGCTTCTTATTGTGAATTGTGAATTCTTTCAAAAATTTTTTCTTTCAAAATTCTTATTGTGAATCATTTGTCCTTTCAATGTTCCATGCTTCCTATCGCTGACTGCAATCCCCACAATGAGCATCACACCTGTACTTCTTTTGGGAGCTGCATGTTCACTTTCCCATTCCTTGTAGCATGTTAGTCTCTTTTTCATTTCGTTTGCCATTGTTCAGCTGCTCGATGACCTTTTTAGCTGTCTTCCCCATGCTTGGATACAGTAAAGGCCACCACCATCTATTAGATCAGTGGTTCTCAACCTGGGGGTTGTGACCCCTTTGGGAGGGCATATGACCCTTTCACGGGGGTCGTCCAATTTATAACAGTAGCAAAATTATAGTTATGAAGTAGCAACAAAATTAATTTTATGGTTGGGGGGTCACCACAACATGAGGAAATGTGTTAAAGAGTTGCGACATTAGGAAGGTTGAGAACCACTGTGTTAGATGTTCCCACCAGAGACATGGTGGCCTCCCCACACCTCACTAACTACAGCTTGTCAATCACCCGTTGTCTGAAGTGGACGTGGACTTGATTCATGTTTTCCTTTATCCAGTGCCACAGATCGAGTCCATGCCACCTTCATCCAGCTCTCAGCCGAGGGCTTCAGGGGCCTTCCAGCTGCTATTCCCACGTCTGCTGCTCCAAGTCTCTAACTGCACAGCACCCAGAAAGAGGTTTTTTAATGAAAATTGGGTCTAGGAGCTCCTCAGTCTATTGGCGTCAAAGCCCACATCCCCAATGTGCCCCTTGAGTTCTAGAG